TGTGGCTAGTACGAATAGCTAGTCGAAACTAAAGAAAATAGAAAACTAATACGGGAAAGTCTGTGCATTCTGTAGCACATCTGGTTTAATATATGCCGAACATTTTAACGCATTTCCAAGGCACAGAGTGAATATACATTGAAAAGCCACAAATCTGGTAGAGTAATGCCTATTGAAATAAAGAGCTCTGGAACCAATCAGAATACGGCGCTCTGAGGAACCAGCGACCATATAAGACAACCAGTCTGGCATAGTTGTTAGATCGGTTACTGCTGCTACAATAGCTGGTTATCACAGTTTAAGTGAGTTTGAACGTGGTGTGGTCAGCGCAAGAGAGATGGGGGGTAACATTTCCGAGGTCACGATGGCATTTGGATTTTCCCGGACGACCATTTCACGAGTGTGCCGTGAATGTCGGGAATCCGGTAAAACATCAAACCTCCGGCCCGCAAAAAGGTCGTGAAAGAACGGGACCAACGAGGACTGAGGAGAATCATTACGCGTGACAGAAGTGCAACCCTTCCGCACATTGCTACATATTTCAATTCTGCGCCATCAACAAGTGTCGGCGTGTGAACCATTCAATGATGCATTATCGATATGGGTTTTCGGAGTCGAAAGCTCACCTGTGAACCCTTGACTTCACGACACAAAGCTTTACATCTCGCCTGGGGCCGTCAACACCGACGGGCTGTGAATGACTGGAAACACTTTGCCTCGTCTGACGAGTCTCGCTTCACATTGTTTTGAGCGGATGGATGTGTACGAGTATGGTGACAACCTCAAGAATCTAGGTAATAGTTAATAGTTCACATTCTCGCCAGGATTCGGAATCTCCAAATCGAAAAAAAATTGAGTTCGCAACAAATAAGCGTTGTTATCATTATTCTGTGATTTGTTGAATAGTCCTTCACTCTCTACTACAGAGAGCAACCTTTCCCCCTCCCTAAGGTAGGCGTCTCCGTCCGGTACAACAGTACGACAGCTCGTAACACGGCCCTCCCGACCCCACCCCCTCGTCCGGCACGCAGAGTAATGCTTCTCCTACCCAACCCCCGTCTTCCCCGCCCCGCCACCCACCCTTTCCTGTTCCCGTCCTCGTCGCAAGTGCTGGGGAGGGGGCGCGGCGGCGGCGGCGGCGGTGACGCTGGTCCGATCCACGCGCGGCCGGCACTCTCTCCCTCTCTTGGCGAGCTATTCATTTCGGCCTTTCTCCGATCTCGCCGAATCTTTTTTCGAGCGACGCCGGATGACCGATGGCGGCGGCGGCGGCGGCGGAAGGCGGAGGGAACGGCGGCGGCGGCGGGCGGCGGCAGCCCGCGACCCGCGCGCGGCCGGGCGGGCGACAGCAGGGAGGGGATGTTATTCAACGCGCCTCGATTTCCACAGTCTCTTTTACGCTGAAGTAAGCGAAAATATTTTCTTAAGGTGGGAGAAGTTGCAGAGGCCCCGGCCCGGACGCCCGCCCGCGTGAGGGGAGGGGATGACGCGCGTCGTAGAAGGGAGAAACTGTAGCAGCCGCAGCGGTGGCTGGGGGGTTGCAATGGACCGCTGGGGACACCCCTCTTAAAGAAAGTATATAAGGGTCCGCGCCTTATTGCTTTCGCATCAGTATAGTGAGTGATCCAAAGTTAGAACGTCGCCCGGCGCACACTACAGAGCAAGCATGAAAGCGGTTCAGGTAAGATGGCGAGATCCATTTCTACGATCGGAATGTGAGGCAGAAGAAGAATTTCTAAAAATGTGATGTGATCGTAATCGTTAATCGTAAAATGGGCCATACAAAATGTTGTGGGGAAGACAATGACTCTTATGATCAAGGAAGTGAAAAATGTGAATGTTCACCATAGTTCAATTTCTTTACATGTTTGTTGTTTTGATCTATTTTAAACATCATTATTTACGAATGAAATTACTTTCGTACTTTCTCCAAACTAGTTAAAACTTCAAAACCTAGCAAAAAATATAAATCTATTTACCTCAAATAGAAGTATTCCGAAAAAGCATAATAATCAATTGTTAATGACTCTCGGGTAAAGACGGATGTTCTTCGATTTCATCGCTCGGACGCTACCTATGTGGCAAAGCCCTATGTGCGAGTTTCTTCTCTCCTGAGACCGCGGCTTGTGCACCTGCGGCGCCTTTCGCCTGGGCTGCTTCGCTTTGGCCGCGCTCCCAGTTAACGCGGTCCGTTATACAGAGGCGACCAGCAGCGGGAGGCAGGTGGGGCAACTTGCCCCAGGTCCTGACTTAATTGGGGACCCGATTTTTTTTTTCATTCAAAAGAAACAAAAAATGTATTCATCACTAAATAAATTTAACGCTATAAGGTATTTCTTATGGATGGAGAAATGAATTATGTTTATGAATGGGGGGAGAAGGCAATATTTGTTTGAAATGTGGAGCCCCCGTGGATAAACTACCCCAGGCCCCTCGTTTTCTCTGAGTGCCCCTGCCGCTACACACTCGCGGTGTCCGCACTGCAGGACGGCTCTGACAGGTGGAGACGTACTCGTGGACCACCCACAACCACGTGACTTCGAAAGCAACAAAAGCAGATTAGTTTTTCAACAAAAGTGTATCTAAGGCTCAGCTTTTATCGAAAGTTCCTCCCTTATAAGGAATTTAAAAAATGCATCGCAAAACGGACATTGGCTCGTACTTTAAGTTTCTTTATAGTTTTACGATGTTGGAATGAAAGAAAACCATCCGCGATCTATATATTAGGCAATATCGAACATATTTGTCTAGTCGAATCTTGTTCTAAATCTGAAGAATTATTTTAGTTCAAGAGGTACAATTTAAGGCGTTTCCCTTCTCCCAAGTATACAAAACGGGAAAATATTTATTCACTTGATCATTTCAAATGCGTTAATGTACATAAAAAATTCAACGGTTTCATTAACCAGTGGAAAACGAATCCTAACTTTTAATTATGTCTCTTGAATTTAGTTCGAAATTTGCAAAGTAAATTACATTTTTTTCGATTTAAAATAATCGCCTGACAGTTTTTCTACGAAAGTAACTATTCACTCAAATTAATTCAATAACTAACAACATCAATGAAAAAGTAGTAAAGTTAACCTCAGAAATGTTGATTCTCAAACATTAATTATAATCATGGTGTCATTATCTTACACTCTCCAAACTACGTATCAATGCTTGCCTCCAGACATTGTACACAGCACTAACAAACCTCCACTCAGCAACGCCCGCAAAAACCCGGAAACCATTGGATGAAGGCGTCGCGAAGCAAAATGTAAACACGACGCGGTATAGCGGTCATCGGACGCTAAGCGTTGCGGTGCGGTGCGGTGCGGCGGCGGGTGACCTTGCCATTGGTGGCCGGCGGCGCGCAGCGGCCCGTGAAGGCGCCTCGCGCCCTCACTCTCCGCACGTGCTGCGAGCCTCCATTAGATGGGTGTCCTTTATGTTTTTAACAAATTTGATACTAGTTCATACATATTTCAAATATTTTGGTATTATTTTGTTCAATTGCAAAGAGTATACTTTGTATATTTATATTTTTTATTTGTATATTTATAGTATATTTATTTTCAATACACATCGCCTGTGCATAAGAAAAGTGGCTTACTTCGAATATTTTCGTTTAACAGGGGAACGGTTTTATTTTGGATGAAGCCGTTTATTTTGGGACCAAAGGCAACGTGTTTTACTCTACATACCTGCTAGTTTGTAAATTATGACCTTTATACTAGTAAAATAAACTATTTTCTAATTACGCATTTCTTCACAAATCCCAACATGGAGTGAGTCGTGTTACTTTTCTCGTGCAGCGACATGTTCAGTGTTTCAATATCAGTTGAATGTGGCATCGCGAACAATGTGAACTGTTTTAATTTTTTTTTTTTTTTTTCATGTGATGAAAACTTATAAATGTCATGCATAGCTTGAAATAGTTGTTACAGTCTCTTGCATTGGACATACCAATGAATCGTCGTAGCTGTTATATTTCCCTTCAAAAATTCCCAAAACCAAATGACCTTCCATGTTACGTTCATACGGGATATGAACTGATAATATTGGAATTTCAAAATTGTAATCGTCGTAGAAAATACTTGCAGGTATGGATGATGCGAACAGTTAGAATTTTGTACAGCCACATTTTGTACTCTTTTTGCTAATGTGCATAAAAATGTACCTAAAAGATCACCTCTAGCTGTTCTTCAGCGTTATTCTCTAATCCTAATATAAGATCATTCTCAATTAGTTTAGAAAATTCTGCCACAAAATGTACGATTACATTTGATTATTTCCCCGCATTTCTACCCTTAAGAACAAATATATGTCTTTGTACAAAGTCGAATACGCATGTGCTTCCGTTCTCTAACATTACTCACAGTTTTGATTTTCCTCATATTCACTTGACATTCTACAAATTTAATAAGTTCCGAGGTAACACTGTACGTAGATGTTTACAACTGTATTATTAAAAATACAGTAATACGGACGAAACACTTCACTTCTTATGTTCAAAGAAGCATCACTACTGATAGTTAAGCCCTCACATGTTTTGTTGTTTCACATGTTCCAGAACAATCAAGTGTTTCAATCCTCGTAGAAGAAAACCGTCACGTCGTAGACCGAAAATTACTGGGGTTTAGTTACTTCGATGTATTTATTTCGGCATTCGTTTAATTCGCCGTCTACCCACTACGATCACAACGCTAAAACGCGTAAAAACACGTTTTTGGATATTTCTTAGAATATTCTGGCGGGATCCAAAAGCAAATTATCAGTTTCCCACCAGGTGACCAAGACGCGCCGAATGGCACCTCACTTGTCTCTGTTAGTGCACGAGAAATTGTCTAACCGTGAGTGACAAATCCGAGTACACATGTACACACGTACACTAGCAGTTACTCAAGTACTGTGTAGGGATTACTAGATAGTCTCATAGTTTCGCCATACTTATGGCTCCTTACGACATTAATGCACATCCTTGCACAAGGGGGGAGAGGCAATGCTACCAGCCCACGATGCCGCCGACACCGCGAGCAAACGATCTGCCCCACCGGAAACTATCGAGATCGGCGGAAATGGTGTATGAGGTTATGGAGTAACTAACGTAACAAACATTCTAGATTGCATTCGAAATATGAAATTAATTTCTTTTTGAGATCTAAAATTTCAATATCTATATCTGTCAAAAAATTAAAAGCCTAGAACTGAAATTTAGAAGTCATACACGGCTTAAAATCTTGCATTTCATGAAAAGAAATGAAGTATAAATTTGTAAACACAAACGAATACAAAAAGAAAACACCAGATCCACCACCCAATTTAAAAGAAGTTAAAAAAAACATACATTTTATTTTTTCCGTCAGGAGAATTTGACAAAAACAATAAAAAATATATAACGCCCTTTAATTTTAATGTTTCAATAAGGTTCGGTCAATGCCTTTTTTATATTCTACATTATTTTTAGTGGGCAGACAATGTTGGAAGATTTCAATCAATATGCCAGAATGACACTTATTTAAAATATTTTATTTTTGTTTAGCTTTTTTAAGGATGAGGAATTAATTTAAGGATAAGTATTGCTGTCCTTACATCTCAAATAGCAGTTTTTGATATTTCACAAGAATCAAATGTTTAGTTGGTTACTTCAAACTGGATATAATCAGGAGATAGGAATGCATTTGCAAAATTAATTCGTGTAATGGATTGAAAATTACATTATACTCTTCATGAAAAAAGTATTTACAGAAAAAAATGATAGAAAAATTAGTGGTTGATTATGATCATTCTTTACCTTATTTTTTGTTTCAGAATCTTTTTTGATAAGATTTTAAGTATTCAAAATATATATTGATATTTGCAGCAACTTTAGATTAATATAACAAACCTGATACGAGCATATCCGTTTCACAACAGTTACAATGGTCGGGCGGGGCGAGGAGGGCGGGACGTTCTGCCGCTCCCGCACGTGGAAGCGCGCCTCACGAGCGCAACAAAAACGCGTAAACGGGATAATTCCGAAAAAATGCCGGAAGCGACCGGCGTTTCAAGTGAGTCGACACGGAGCGTTTCCCCCTGCCAACTATTTTTGTTATTTATCCGCTGCCCATATACAGAAAGGGAAGAAGGGAGGGGAAAGCGGGAAAGAGGGGACAGGTGACGTAACCCCACACTTCCTACTATTAAGTTATGCATGAATCAAAGCGACCAAGGCATATGCCAAACTGGTCTGGTGGGCCGACGAAAGGAAGTAGGGCGGGAGAAGTTATCTAACGATCCACGTCATCGCGAGCGTGGCCGTTGCGTAATTGCCGTTCGGCCGACGAATTCAGCGTATCTAGCCCGACTGGTGTCTGTGCGAGGTCGTGGCGGAACTACTACCGTCACAAATTTCTTCACCCTGGCGAATTGAGAGGGGTGCCATTCGCTGCAGCAAGCGCAACGCCTGCAGGAGCGGAGAGAGGCGCAGGTGGGGAGAAAGGCTGCGCGGAAGAGAGGAAGGAAGGAGCAACACGCGATAGAGACGGGTAAAGAACACAAAAAAGGCTGCGCTCCCCATACAGGTCTCACATGATGGCCCAGAACGGTGCGAGCGCCCGCCCGAAGCCGCTGCCGTGTACACATACAGACAGCCGGTGTCGTGCGCCAGACCTAAACATGATGGCGCGTGACGATTTCAAAGGTATCGCCGTCATTATATTCTTGTGGTTATGTATTTTTGTCATTCCTAATTGCAATATGTCGATTCCTTTCTAAATCACTTGAACACGCCCATGTCTGTCGTAACATTCCTCTTGTTAATCATAACTGCTTAACTCATAAACAAAGCTCCTCATTCAATTATGCAAAAGTCACACTTTTTCAAATATATCATTGGCTATATATCACTTTTCTGAATCTCTTGTGAAATTATGAAGGTTAGTTCAATTTTTGAACTATTAAATAAATATTTATATTATAGTCATTTTACACCGCGTTTTATCTGCTATTGAACTCAATGACCTCTCCTGTAGCACCTTACGTGTGCGTGATGCTCGAAACACCTTTGTACTAAACCTCACAGGTGGGTGATGACCATGCTGTCTAAGGAATTCATTAGGCCGTCAATTTCTTTTAACCGCTGACGCGCCGAAGGTTTTCAAACTGTGCGATGCAGTTCTCATGGCGTCTCAGCCACAAGGTAGAGCGGTCGCGGTGGTTAATAGAGAATGATCTTTACATTTGATTTACTTTAATCCTTGTGTCATTTATGCACACAATATAATTTTGTACTATCATAGTACACGTCATTTGTAATATATAGGGTGCGTCACGTAACTTAAGCACCTCCAATAACTTTTGAACTGTTGAAGGTATTGCAATCTTCAGTTTTCACGGAACTTCCTGAGGGAATGGGGCTAATTGATACGTGTATTCATTTCTATTTTATCACTTGTACTTTACGAGATATTTAAAGGAACTTTGTTTCAAATGGAACTATGCATACTTTTTAGTCTATCATGACGACTGTAAATATCCGCTAAACCTAGTCGCAAAAAACATCAAAATTACTCAAAAAAATACTTATCTAACATATAATAATATGTGTATCATTGGATACATATTTTAGCGCTCGTCATGACAGACGTAAGTGACAAATAAGTAAGTAACTCATTCATTACAATTTTTTTCTACGACGATTCACCGAAGTAATTTTAGCAAACTAATTCTCTTAAATTGGCATGATTTAGTCTCCAAAATGTTTGAAACGTAAGTAGGATCGTTATTCACCTCAAATCCAATGAAGTAACGAAACTACACGTGTATGATCATAAAATTCTGAACAAACCAAGCCTCAATTTTATAATTTACAACAATCAAATCCGTCACATCCGTAACTAAATACACAACATTCAAATCACCCACTCGCCGTTTCTGGCTTGCCGCTTGAAATCATCACCTGCTTACAAAATTTTAACACCTGGCGGGTCATATGCGCAATGCATTTGAGTAAAAATTAGTGTAAATGTATACATTTGTTTTTCGATAACAACGCTTCGTCTGCCAACACAGTGCATGTTCTATGATCAATTCTTGTCAAATTGATCCATACTCACAATATTTATCGAAATAGTTGAGAGTGAAGAAAAGGGCTAGTGGTGAATAAGGCTGCTTGAGCTTGTCCACTATCTGTACGACGTTTCCGGGATTGAATGGTGACCCGCAAACTGGTTTCATTAGTAATGTGTACAAAGACATTTTCGTGCGTGGCTTGCTTCAGTTAGTAACAGCAAGGTAAATAATATTTAACAAGGCAATTTCCTATTATATAATCTGACATACGAGTACAACTAATAACATTATGAAATTTTTAGCAATGAATGAATATATTGGTAAATAAAATTAATTCAGGAATGAAAATTACCGTTTTCTCAGTTCAGACATACCATTTAACCTTCAAAAACAGTGTAACAACAGCACTCTACGTACACAAATGTACTACAAATCAAGAAATGTGAGTGGGAAGGAGAAAAAACTTTTTTTTTTTTTTCCACTTCTCTTGATGAATGTCTATAGACTTACTAGTGATAAAAAACAGTTCCTCTTCAAATTTTAGACATTCAGATTTATTAACACCTATACATAATTGTGATTTTAATAAACATTGTTACCGTGACGCTTCAGCTACCTTCAGGCATCTCGTTTAAAGAAAAAATATGCAATTCTAAAATTGGATTATAATGCATTCAAAACATAAGGTCCACTTTGCAACAGTGGATAACATAGAGAAATACTTGAAGTTGCAGTAAACTACCAAACAAACCTCATAAACTTAACATGTATTCGTGGCATGGCCTGATTATATCCTGAAACCAATTAAATTCAATTGAATAATACATTTACAAACGTAGGGACGTTCCTAGGTACATCGTCACTGTCACTGTCTCTAGGTATAACAATCTGCAATCATGAATAAACATGGCCACTGTTAATTGTAGGTTACCTGTAGGAAAGAAGTAAACACCTTGAAATAACTACATTCTATGGTAGTAAGTGTAGGTCTACTTCTATTTTCGTAAAGTAATAGTGTTTATTACAAAATTAATGTAAAAGAAATGCAGAAAGTTTTACTTTTCACTCGTCAACCTATTAAACTCTCATAAAATTCTCTGTAACAAGAGACAGCATGGGATAAAAGACAAGATTTGTTCAAGAATATTGTAAACTGCATTGTGCATTGAAATAAAGGATTTTAAATAATCTACAAGATGTTGTCATTAAGTATTATGAACTACGAACCATAAAAATTGAACAGAACATAGAAAATTGGTGGCAGCAGGTGTTGGATCGAAGTTAAACATTGGCAAAGTTAATATCGTCGGTTGAAGATTATCCACAACTGATTGAAAGAACTCTAGTATTGCAGTTCAGTGAAGTAGAGTCCAGAGCATTATCGAATTGAACTGTAATCATCAGTGCTGACATGCGTGGATTGAAGATTATCCACATCTGGTTTGGAAGGAGCCTGATATTTCAGTTGAATGGAGGTGTTCGAAATATTACTGTAAAATATTACAGAAGAATAAAACTTCACCCTAGATGGAAATTTTTGTTGAAATATTAAGGGCGTGATTAGCTAGACAAAAAAATACATTTTTCGTGAAAAGGACCAATTTGGAGCTGTTTTTGAGGAAATTATGTCTTTTTATTATTTTTCAATTGCACAAATTTTACACGATTCAAACTTTTGAATTTTCGTTAATTCACAATTAACAGTGAAAATCCGACCTAAACACCATTATACAAATGTGCATGTTTACTCTATTCTTACAAGAAATTTAAAGAAAAAATTGGAGCCCTTGTTGAGACAATTTTAGAAAGTCACTGGAGTTTCATGTAAAAAAAAAAACAAATTTTAAAGAATGATTTTCAAAATCATTCAAAGTTTATTATCCACATTTTCTGGCTGTCAAAACAGCATCTTTAACAGATAAAGATAATGTCATTTTTGCCTTAATTGTCCTAATTTCGCAGTCTCTTAAGAGAGTCAGGCAAAACGTGCTTTTAAAGAATTAAAGAACATGTTAATAAGATTACTGAGACTTGCAAAAAATTAAACTCAATTTATAGAAAACGCTTTGATTTTTCTCATTCTTTTAATTTTACAGCACTGCCATGTAGTACAGGTAATGACCTCATAAAAATATTCAAGATTAATCTCAGAGATTTGCATTTAAAATGCACACACCACCATTAATGCTCTGCTGGAATCGAATTTATTCACATTTATGACAATGTTCTGTCAAACATAATAATAACACCCTAAAACTTTTTTTTTTTTTTTTTTTTTTGTGATATGTTCCGTTTAATTAATTTGTATACGTGAAATCCTTCTTTGATCTGTTTCTTCCCACTTCCACTCTTGTTTATTAGTGTTTTTTACTTGATTTCATTGTTATCTTTTTAAAATGTTAATGACTTTTTTTTTTACGTTAATATGTCCCTACTTCTTCTTCTTCTTCACGGAAAGATGTAGGTATAAACTAACAATGGGAATGTTTTTCCTTATTTCTGTTTATTTTAGATTTATCTTTTTAATTTTGAACTTATGAATTTATTTTTGAATTTATTTACATTTAATTTCTTAATTTGTCAGCTGAAGCCCCTCTCCTTCATAGTGCGGTTGCCACGACTTGCCACTACTACTTTATATTACGAATATCTCGCGTCACTGTTAATTACATCAATTTCACAGGAATTTCGTTTCATAAAGTTTTTCCCCCTACAGTACACAAAAAACCGTTCCGTTTCCGCGTTGGACAGATTCTGTTTTAGACTGTGTAAAATACCGTATAACTAAACGGGCCAGAGAAGTTTTCCGGTTAAGGCAGGTTTCCGAATTGTACAAGATCCGGTTTAGTCAGATTTTACTGTACATATACTTGTTGTTCACACCTGATGATGCGTACAAATATTACGCAAAAATATCGTCAAAAAATAGTACTGCATGAAAATTAAAACTTTTTTGAAACCTTGTACATTGAACAAAAATAAAAAAGGACACCCAAGTGTTAAAATATTGTACAATTTCCTCAGTAGCTTTATTTTCCAAATATTAATACATAAACTGAAGGTAGCATAATAACAAAACCTTAAATATAGTCACACATATATTAAAAACATTTTACAAATAAACAGGTTTAGGACATGAAATCGCTATGCCACATATGCATTCGAAACGACGATACCATTACCTTACTACTTCCTATGAATATCTGTATATACATTCCTTCCGAGTTTCATTTCATTGAACGTAGAGACCATGGTAACACAAATGACGTAAATAAAACCGCCTTATCTTATTTTTCCCATCATGTTGCCGTTCAATATCGAACTTATCGAATATCCATCCATTGATAATATAAAATGATTGTGTAAAAGTTCCTACAAAAATATAGTACTCAATTTTTTTTTCATTTTTCTTTCACACTAAATTTAAATCGTATTTTTAGAGAGAAAATCTAATTGAGCTAATTTTAATTAAGGTTTGTAGATTGCTTGAAAGAAAATACTGTACTTCAATATACTGAAAATACAAATTGTAGAATAGGATAAAACTGGAATTAAAATTGGGATTTTCAGTAGCAAATTAAAATTAATTACTTTTTGTATTCTCCTGATCCATTCATGT